CCCCAAAACCCCAAAACCCCTGCAGTATTAAATATCATAAATTCGGTATTTATGAAATTAAGATTATAATACCATTAAACTTTCAAAAGTACATGTAATTGTTTTCAATTCTATCGATAAAAACTTCCAATCCAGGAATGTTTTCAATTCCTCCTGGGCAAGAAATGCATAATTCACTTACCGTATAAAGTGCTTGATTACTCCCAACTCCTTCTATATAATCAGCTATGTCCTCATCATTGATTAAATCACACATCTCTTCAGAAAATTTATCTTATATAATCTCAAGGTTTGCCACTATATGAAAAACATATGGTCCAAGATAAGGCTTTTGTTTAAGATGAGGTTCAATCACCTCAAGCAAACTTTGATCTTTACTGATAAGTAAATAACCCATAAGTAATTGTCGATCGACATAAGATAAATAGTTAAAGAGAACATGTGTCCTCTAATGAGTAAAAATATACTCAATAAGAGTTGGATTTTGAGACTCTATGATTTCATCTATGATAAGTTTAATTTGCTCGGCTCTCCAGAGAGAATACATTTGTTCGAAAAAGTACTGAAACATATCAAAGTATTCATTTACTATGGTGTAGGTCAAAGGAAATATCTGATTTTTTAGTGGGCATGTATCTGAATGATCATAACTTCCAGGTTTAGCAGTAGAATAAAATAGGTTGATTTCTGATCTCAGAGTCAATAATTCGAGACACTTCTATGAGTTGCTGATGATTGCTAAAATCATCGGGTTAATTTGACTAGGTCTTATTGTCTAAGAAAGCATATCTACTGGCGATTTATAATATGTTGTAAGATCTGATTGTCCTTTATAGTGCTAGCCAGTATACATTGATATATCTGTAATTTAATGCTTAAGCATAATCTATTCTAGCTATTAAACATCATCCTTTTTGATAATTTCAAATAACTCGGTAGTAATAGTCTGATGCTTGCTTAATTTTTCATCTTTATCCAATCTTAAAACAATCTAATCAATTAATTCCTCAATAACACTCAATAAATTTATTTGGCGGGCTTTTAAGTATGAAAACTGTCGCATGTTGTGGATTAATTCATCCCTATTCTTCAAAGGGATTGCTCTGATGATTTTATAGGTTTACTCATTTAATAGAAATCTTTAGATACCCATATCCCACTCACTTTCAACAAATGCTCTCAATGCTGAGAAAACATACCAACCTGATAAGTATCTAAAACTCTATGTCCAGACAAGATAAAAATCATCCCAGTTCTTATTATAAATACAAAAGCAAAGAGACTACATTTTTCCTTTATTCAGATATAGGATCTCATCATTAGACTCAAGGTCAAATTTCCCAGGATTCAGATCCAAGGAATGAGTCAAATGAATTGGCAGAATCTAGAAGAATTAGCTTAAATACTGAGATTTCTGTAAGTACATTGCCCAATTAAGAGGGTTCCATAGTTTAGTATTATAAGTTTTTTCAAGTTCCTTTTGCCTTGAATCTGGCAGTTTTCCAGAAATATCTAAAGATACTTTTATAGTGATATATTCTTCAAATCCTCTTACATCTATCACATCAATTAATTGGTAACTCTTTATAATATGCTGAGCTATTGCAATTTAATCCTCCTTAACACAAAGCATTAAATCCATTTACTTGGCAGTTTGAAGATTAATGACTCTACTTGTTTCTTAAACATATCTTTATCTTTTCCCGTCTGTTACTTCTCTCATTTTTCGCTTTTTTGGCAAATTAGAGGCTTAAGATTTAACTGACTACTTTTTATCTTTTGAATTTTATCTCGAAGGAGATTTTTTAACAGGCTGCACCTTTTGCTGTATATTTTTGGTAACTGCTTATTCCACTTTATTAACCGGTTATCCTTTTGTCGGGGGAATATTATTTGACTGTTTAGTTTAAGCAGCAAGCTCTTATTGAAGAGCAGATGTTTTCATGTTAGAACTTGCCTTGAGAGCAGATTAATTTTTGGGCATCTCTTTTATTGATTAATTAGGAGGTGCATTCGATGGGGCCTATTTTTAATCTTCAAAATCATCTCCAGCTATTCTAACTCCTTTTTTTGCTTTCGGTTTGCCTTCATTTGGAACAATCATACTCATTGCTTTTCTTTAGTTTTCTTCTGCCTAGCCTAATTAGCTCTATTCTGGAGGAACTTAGACTTTCATACTCTTTATTTTTGAAGATAAGGTAGGTTATACTCTCTAAGATAATGCAGCTTACGAGCCCTAAAAAAAATTAATTATTAATAGGATTAATACTTATGAAGAAGGTTTCGAATCTATAGGAGATTTAGCTCGTTTTTTACTATCTAATTTCGCTAAACTTTTCTAGTTCTGTTTAGGATCAGCTTGAAATTTGATTGATCCAGTTTCAGGGGGTAGATGTCCTCCTTTAATTTCACCTTTTCCTTATTAAGATCCCATTAAAATTGAAATTTACTATAATATTATATTATAATTCTACAAATTAAATTGTCAATTTTATTAAAATTTATTTGAGGGGTTTTGGGGTTTTGGGGTTTTGGGG